TTTGACTCAGGGTCTGAGGAATGAAAGTGTTACCTTGTCTCCTGAAAAACCAACCCACTCTAACAGCTTGATTATCTTTGCAGGAAGTAAGGACAACATCTAGGAGAAGACAAAAAAAATAAAATGTGTTAACACTGTGCAAGCAAAGTGTTACAATTGTAGTCTGAAAAATGACAATTTAATTTAATTTGAAGAAAACTCATGCAAGTTTCTTTATCTTGGAGTGACAGAGAGAATTTCTGCTCTTTCTGAAATGGACAGAGGTCCATCTCTTGTCCACCTCCACCATATCGCTTCCTGGCCTGCCCAACAGTTTGCCCCTGCCAATCATGATTGAATAGAGGCATGACACATCAAAACCATCTCAATCCACAGTCTAGCACTGATGGCAACCATAAACACTTCCGAATGCTCATAGCTTTAGAATGGACACGATGCATGGATTGGAACAATAAGATCATCGTGATAATTTTTATGAGGTGATAAATCTAGTTCACTTAACTTTCTGTAGACTCTCCAAATTAAATCCTCCAATGCCAAGATGAACTCCTCCTTCAAAGTCCTTTCTTTGGGGAGAATGTTGAAGAGAAGATGGGTGATGGGCAACCATGTCCAGGCAAGTCCTGAATTAAGAGGAATAGTACGATATTATGAATCCTTTGACTCCATTGTTCTGATAGATAATTCTCCCCTCTAGCTGCTACAGATTTCTTTGTAACTTAGTAAGGAGAATTTGGTGTTAAATCAAGCTATTCACTTCTACCTGATAAGTTTGAGTATTCTCATTACCTGTTTGCTGGATAACATAGGGATATTATAGGGAGAAGTTACAGGTTAATCACTTCTGGGAGTTAAGGGGTTAATTAACAAAATAAATGATACCTTATATAGGTCTGCAATAAAAATTGGTGTCCAAACTAACTGTTTTCAATTCATTGGTGGATTGAAACGATCTGAATTTCACTGCAACACTTACTTGTAAGTTTGATAAGCACTTCTGATTTTGAGAGCTCCACGAATGAAGCTGACCAAATTTTCATCCTAAAGAAAAATTTGTAGGAGTCATTCCAGACAGACAACCTAATCTATTGTCCATGGTAATAAGTGACCTCCTAAACTAGCAGATTTCTATTCATCATTATTAAGCTATATAGTTTATTACTGACTAAAATAGTTGAGTTTAGTATAAACCAAGACAATGGATAGCACTGATGGCACACCGCTCTGATTGGTTACTCAAACTCCAAATATCCTTTGTTATTCACCTCTGTGCAACTCGCGTCTGGGATTTACAACTGAAGGTATGTTGATCATTGCAGGAATAAATAACAAAAGGTAAAATCATCCTTTTTGTGCTCTATTATCTTACTGTTCTAATATGATTATACCATACAACTTTTCACCTCAGTGGTGGTGGCTATGATAAGGCAGTGGACATTTGCGTGCTGGCTTGCAGCTAGATAAATATCTGCCACTAGCCCCCTCCAGTTCAGTGAATAGTTATCAAAGATTCACTGAGAGTGAAAGAAAGTCAACCCTATTTATCATTACCTATACCTGAATAAATGTGAGTAATGCCCTCATAAATAAACACTCAGCATAGCATAGCTCAGCATGTCTTTCCACTAGAATGAAAACAAAACATATCTCAATTCAGAAAAAGGGCAGAGTGTTTGATGCAGTCCTGTTGTGAAACATCATAATCAAGATACAAAAACTGTAACAAGAACACTGCAGTAGAGAATACCTTCTGTTAAATTATCATAGGATGGATTCCAAATCCAACTGGTGAATGACTCTGTCCATGTATGTTTTCTTCTGTATCTAGAAAAAAAAAATACAAAGATTAGAACCAAATTACATTCTAGCATTAATTAAAATCAAAATAACCATGCCTATTATTTCCTTCTTCTTGCAATGTGCAAGCATCCCATCCTTGGGGAGTAGCAACAATTCAAGTTGCTTCATAATGGGAAAATTGATTAACCCCTGGACAGCAGGCAGCTTGGGCCTCTTAGTTGAGGAGCTGACTTAGCCACACCTTTATCCCCTTTCGGCTCTCCATCTATCCTACCTCCCTTCCTCCATGCATTCTGCTCTCCATTGATCTATTGAGCTAACCACCTCCTGGTTAGCCCAATGGATAGAGTGCTGGACTGGTGTGCAGGAGGTCGAGGGTTCAAGCCCCGGCTGGACCAACACTCAAGGTCTTAAAATAATTGCGAAGAATATGCTACCTTTCTATAACTCAATAAATGGTTAGATATTCTAGTCTTCTCAGATGGGGATGAATAAATGGAGGTCCTGTCTCCTACAGGGTTAGGGGCAGGAGACGTTAATTTTTCCCACACATGAGATTACTGTGTGATGCCGATGTCCTTCCCTGGGGTGGGATGGGTGGGATTTATTAGGTGGACTACTCGCATGGTTGGCATATGTTCTGTTCTAGTCCTACCCTTCTGCGGTAGGATGAACAAAACCGTAGGTCCCATCTCCTGCAGGGTTAAGGGTAGGAGACATTAATTTCCTCTCTCCTGTACCTTCCATCCAACTTTTTCATCACACTTCCTCCCTACCAACCTCACTCCCCTGCCTTTTTCCATATCTCTCTCCCTTGATTCCTCCCTTCTCATTTAAAAACCACATGCTTCCATTAGCTTCCCTATCTCTCTCTTCTAAGGCCCCCAACAGCTGTCTCTTTCTTTCATTTCCTCATTCTCCTTTTCTTTCAAGTTAAATATTTCACTTAATTCCATCCCCTTGACACCCATATGCCCAACAGTAACTACACATTCATTATTGTTGTGACTGAAAATCCTTTTCATCTCAAATGCTGGCCATTGATTCATAAAAAATTCATAACAAATTAATAACATTACCAAACTAGAGTGCACACTCTGATTGGTCAAATCACTGTACACCATTTATGCCCATGGGTGTAGGCCGCTCACATGACCAAATGTAAGGATCAGTTTCTACACACTTGTTTTTTCTGGTCACATAAGACTTCTTAAGTAAAAAAAGGGACCTCTTCTGCTACAATGTATCAATGCTATGTTACAAAACAAATGATAAACACTGCAGTATACACTATTGAGATATGGATGCACATGGGAGGTTGCTAAGCACTCAGGAAGCTAGAGTTGCTCTCAGCTATCGCCTTGCGTGACTTTTATGATTCTTTCATGCTCTGCAACCTCTGCATTCATCCATAACTCAATAGCTTATGCTGTGGTGTTTACCATTTGTTAATTGCAAAAATTAAGTAACTAAATTAAAAATGATAAAGTATTGGAAGGTATTACCTTTCACAGACATGCATTGTATAAGCTTAAAATATTAATCTAGTCTTGATTGTTTACAGTGGTGCTGTGGATGAGAAAGTGTTAGCTGATGCTATTAAGATGACAAATACTGCTGTCAACCTGTGTTTGTCAAACAAGTTCCTTCAAGCACAAGCAAAACTTGAACCATGGTAATCAATAATGTGTCTTAATCTAACAAAACTTTAGATTTTGAACTCTTAAAGAGGCCCTCAGACTGTCCCAAGGATGTTGGGATCAATGTCTCAGTATTTAAAGAACTGTGCATGTAGCCTTCCCCTAACCCAACCGTAACCCTATAACTTGTTAAAAAAAAAAGCAAACAAAAAACATATATTTTATAAAGCACAATTAGTTAAACAGATATTGGGTTAGAGGGAGTCTTGAATTCTTTAATGTTAGGTAATTCTGTTAGTACTCACAGGTTCAAATGTCATCATAGCCTGAAGACACATAATGGTGCTATAACCAAGAGCATGGTACATGCTTTCATTTATCCTAAGGTGAATCAAGAAATCTTCATTAATTTAACTGGCAGATAGTTACACTCGGTTTTACTTCTTGTGGCAAAAAAAGGCTTACAAAGGGAGGGGAGTCATGGGCACCCCTTGCATCCTCCTTGCCACATCATAAATGAACAAATCATCATCAAGTCATCTTCTTCAGTTATTTACAAAAACCAAACACTCCTGAAGGCATCATACTTTGTAATTAGTTTGAGTTTATTATTACCACTGACTATTGAATTTTACAGAAAATGAGGAGAATTTAAATCTCAATTTCATTCTTCCCTTTTCAATTCTAGCATCTGAAAAAAATTCTGCTTGCNCCTCCCTCAGGCGATAACTGCAGGTTGCTGTTAGCATATCAAGTTTTATTGTATGTATTATACTTTTTTTCGCAGGGAGCGATATTCTTGTACTACGCTGGGCGTATAAAACAAGTTCAAGGCAAGTTAGATGAGGTCAATGCTAATGCAGAGGAACCTACTAAAACAGGAAGATAATTAGGTTTTATCAACGGAGTTGATATTGTGAACTGGCCACTTTAAAGAGTTTCGAAAGCTGTCGTGTCGTGTCTTAGCTCTACTAAATAGCCCTTAGTCAGAGCGAATAGAAAGTGAAGAAACCTACGTTCCTTACTCGTTAATATAGGAAGATTGACTCGTTTTATCTTAAAACACAAAGGCTGCATCTTTCACGGTAATAAATCAAATATAATAGCTTTGTGATGTACTATTGCGTCACAGCACTTTGCACTTATTATACTTATTCCAAGTCCCTATGCTCCACGAACTTATATTTGAAGCTCGTGGAGCATGAGTGCCTTGGAAAAGTGAGCCTGTTGTCTTTCTGCTCAGCCCTCTCTAAACCTACGGTAAACTGGCGGCTCAGACTAGTTATGGGAAGGAAAGGTAACAGAAGCTGAGGTGACGTGGCGCGACTGACTTGACGTATCGCGGTGTATGACGTTACTCTTATACATGGTAGAAGGCGACCGATTGTTGCATGACACGATGTGACAGAACAAGTTGAGACGTGGTTTGACGTGACATCATGAGGTGACGGTAAAGAAATGACTGGACCTGTCACGATCAGCGTTACACGATGTGGCGTGAGAGTAAACGACTCCGGCGACATGACTTGACATGATTTTGCGATGAGCTTTTTGTCTTTTCTGTTTTTCTTCAGGCCACGAAAAGCTACAATGATTCAATTCAGTTCAGTCTGAATGGAAACAGTTCCATCATATATGTTACTGGCAGTTTTTTTTTTTTTGTGTGTGTGTTATGTTACTGGGAATTGATGTGGTGTTATTCGTAAGTAGATCGTCACACTAGACCGTTCGGTTCCCGTTTTAGTCTGTGTCACGTTGGTCACATTCACGTTTCCATTTCAAATGGAAAATACTGTAACAGTACAAGTCTTCTCCTTTACCATTGCTGCTGCACATGGTAAAGTTTTGTACAAGTCTTCTCCCCTACCATTGCTGCTGCTACATGGTAAAGTTTTGTTGTTTTTGTCGTAGCCAAACTATGATCAAAATCCTCTTTTTCTGTCTTATCAGATATGAGGGGGACTGGGCCAGAGCGTACCACTATGCAAGTGTTCTTTTGAAGGAAAGCCGCTGGTCATGGGTAAGCTATGAAAGTTTAGAAAAATAAAATATGTGAAATTTAGCCATAACATCACTGTTGTCAGAAAGAAAATAGATATAGGCAAATAGGAATATACAAATTTTTCTCATTGTCATCAACACACTTAGCTTTCAAGTCTCAGTCTCAATGACGCTTTCACCACTTGCCGAACAGAAGCGCGGTTGATGAATAAAGAAAGCAAGTTTCTAAAGAAACGGTTGGGGATAAAACAGAATTATTTGGTTTTATCAACTGAATTAATAATGTAAATTGGCTACCGTAAAGAGTTTCTAAAGGTGACGTTTCGAGCGTTAGCCCTTCGTTGCTTGAAAAGAATTGCAGTTACATTACATGATTACAAAAGCCTTTACAAACCCTTTCTCCGGCAGACTTCCTACATGTATCTTAAGGCTTGCTTCAGAGTTATGGCGAGAATTAGAAACCTGGAGCTTGCTAAAGAAGACGATCAAAGTGAAAAGGACACCGAAGAGTATCTTTTCAGGTAAAAAAGTAGGAAAAAAGGGAAAAAAGCGGATAACTTTTGTGGATTATTTATACGACTATTTCTGTAATTGCCTCTGTGGTGTTAAAAGATCCAAAGGGGAGGTTCAGAAAACGAGATGGAAAGAAAGTGTCCCTCTTTCGCTTGCTCCTAAACCAATTTACACGTTGCGCTCCCGCGTCCCTCACATGAGCTTTGAAAACGATTGGATACCAGTTGGTTGTCTTTGTAACAGGCGACTTCCGGAATACAAGCAGCGCATCGCTGGAAAGTCCGTTCCATTTAAGAAATTTTCCATTCACAAAGCTAACAAGTATCTGGAACAAGGCAATCATCTATTCCTTCCTGGGATGGTAAGTGCTAGGGGAATCTTTGGTCAAAATTTCTTTTCTCTGTTGGTCAAATTAGCATTGTAAAGCAGATTGTTTTGATAATAAGACATAACTGGAACGAGTCACTCTCTCAAGCCCGAATGGCGGGAAAATTTTTGTCTTCTGTACATGTTAGATATGTTAGCCTGGCAAGTGCGTCACGTGGATCTTTGTACAAGAACGTTAGATAACACATTTTTAGGGGTATAATCTTGAACTATTTAACAATCGGCCATTCTCAAACGGCAGCAAAGTGACTTTTTTTTCTCGAGACGGCAAGGGTGAGGAGCCGGATTCGAATCAGGATCTACGTTAGATATTACTAAATGATACATATTTGAGGTTGTTTTTGGGAAATTAAGAAACACCTTAACTAATTCTCCCTTCAGGAACTTATATTGCTATGGAATGGGTTCAAGGTTCTTCATCGCAGGCCAGACTTAGTGAGGCCAATGTTGAAACTTGTCCAAACGTCACTGGTAGAGTTAGAAGAAACTAAAGGTAAACTATAAGTAGAAACAGTTACTTATGATTATAGCTTGAAAGAAACCAACTTTCACGTTTGCCTCAGCTTTGCGAGAGGTTTCCAGGTCGCGCAGTCACTCAAGTGTAAACAAAAAGGGGTAGAGTGGCCGAGTGGCCTGGGCGCTGGTCTTGTAATCTGGTAGGCTCGATTACCAGCCGCTGTTCGGGAACCGGAGCCCGCGCTCCTCAGCGGAAATCGAGCTTAGTAGTATGAATGTCCCCGCCGCAAGCACTCCACCCTAGTACTCACTGGATTTGTTTTCAGAAGCTCGGAGTTCAACTCCTTGGCTGCTCTATAAATATTGCAAACTGGTCTGCCTCCGGCCAGTTGGGTTTTTTTTTCTAAACACTGTGTTCATGTTTGTTTACTATCTCTATTTCCAATTTGTGTGAATTAATAATTATCAATTTTGCAATTGCATTGAAAATTGTGAAACGCGCCCTAAGAACTGTTATTGTTTATTGTTTTAAGTATCTTAAAAGAGAAAAGACCATGGAAATTCTATACATCTATGAAATTAAGCCTTAAAAAATTCAGGTACTAACACGGGACTAATCTTGTGTTCAAAATGCTAGTTATTTGCATGGAAAACATGCCTTTTCAGGACTACCTCACCCAGAAAATCTTAGATAACATGTGCAGTTTGTATAGAGATAAAATCAAATGAACATAGTAGTCAGCTCTGTAAATCATGTGTTCACTTGCAAATATAATGTTGGCATTTTAAATTAATTGATGTTCAAGTTTGTTCAACTTGATGGGTTTCAGGATCAATAGAAGCATGTACCATTCAGTCGCATACAGCAAAGAACTAGCATTTTGAACAGAAGATTAGTAGTTCAGTTTTCACTATATGATTCAACAGAATTTGATGATGATTTCCATTCAGGTCGTCATACAAAATAGCCAAAATTATGTAAATTCTAGACTTAACACTGTATTAACAATCATTGTCCGTCAGACAAATGTAGCGCTCTTCAAGAGACTACCATCATTTTCTCCATATAATGCAATTAAGATATGTTTTCAAACTTAAAAAATTGAGTACGGAGAGATGTCTCCTATCGGGTAGCAAGCTCCATGAACTAAATTACAATTTTTGATAGTAAATTGGTTAAATCAACCAAGTTCAAATTGTAAATTGGCCACTGTAACAAGCAATAAAGCTGACGTCTCGCTATGACGAAGGGCTGATGCTCAAAACGTCAGCTTTTTTACTTGTTACAGTGCCCAATTTACAATTTCAACTTAGTTGATATAACCAAATTACCTTGTTACCCCTACCAGTGCAGCACCAAAGTTTCTTTGGAAACTTTCAGCCTTTACACAAGTTTTGATAGTGACTAGTATAGTGTACTATTTTTTAGGGGGAAGAACAGTCAGCCCTAACAAAAACTTTTTCCTGCATTAAGTTTGTACCTAGACCCTATAATCTGCACTAGATACAGTTTACTATTAATGATAGCTTAAATTCTCTGTACCATGGCTCTATGTCTGCCTTTGCTTGAAGGAACTTGTTTGAAAAGCAGAGATCATAAGCTTTGGTGATCATTTTGATAGCTTCAGCCATAGTAGGTGAATCATCACTTAAACTGTTATTTAAAAAAAAAAAAATAAAAAGAGTGAAAAACAATTATCAATTCATTCATGAATTCAATGCTCACAATTACCAGTGATTGACTGGTTATCCAAATATACTGATCACTAGGGCAGGGGTGGGGACATATACCTGCTTTGGATGTTCTACATGTATCTGTTATAATTCTAGTTTCAAATTTGTATGGGATCAGTTTTACCTTTAACTCTCACTTGTTTTTATTAATGGTAATGAATACCCAAGGAAAATACAAATCAAACTAGTTTGGAAAAATCCTGAGCCAATAAACAATTTGAAAGAACAAACATGAATGCTCTTTACCCTTTGAAAGATACAGTACCTATCATTTTCAGGAAGATACCCCCACCACCCAATATGTGATGCAAAACTTTTATAAATGTAGTGCTAATTTGATTTCATAACACAACAACAGAGGTGGCACAACTACACCATTCTTGACGCAACACTGAAGAGATTGAAGTCTCTCCTTGACCCTTGAACCCCTGGGAGTGTTTAACATGTAACTTTTCCCAACAGCATCACCTCTGAATCAAACTCTAAGTTCTTGAGGATAGAGAAATTGATCATGAACTCAAGAGGCTCATGACTATAAGTTAAATTCTCCTTGTGAGTACCATAGGAAATATAGAGACCAGTATGGAGAACTTTCATAC